CCCATATAGTAATCCATCCCCCCTATAGTAATTCATCCCCCCTATAGTAATCCATCCCCCCTATAGTAATTCATCCCCCCTATAGTAATTCATCCCCCATATAGTAATTCATCCCCCATATTAAGTCCCCAAGTCCGCCCTGTGTCAATTCACTTACCTTTGCTTCGCGCGTTCCTCTTGTTCCTCTTGTTCCCGCTTCGTTCCGGTGTAGCATGAAAATCTGTCTCCTATGAGGATCTGTCCCCCTCGACGTATCTGCGCATGTGCCAGTTTCAGGCATTAGCAGCCGATCGGCGATCTCCGGCACATCCGCGGGCCGGATTAAAAGGTCCGCCGGGCCGTAGTTTGCCCATTGCTGTTCTAGCCCTTTCTCTCTCTATACAAAACTTCAAACAATTGAGCGGTGCTCCATTCTATCTGTGACAATGAGTAACAACCTGTAGTGTGCATGCAAGCAGCTCACCTTAAGCTGGCCATACACAAGTCATTTTCCCCCAAAGCGGTGGAGAGCAGGCCTCGTGTCCCCCGCGGCGGCGAAGAAGAAACAGCAAGTCGGAAACTGGAAGTTGGCTTCACAACGAGGCTTGGAGTGCAAGTGGAATGCAAATCGATCCCCGGGGCCTGGGGATCGCATTGCAAGCCGCCCGCTCCATTGCAAGCCACCTGCTCCATTTGTGCTTGCGACAAAGGGCTTTTCCCTCGCATTTGGCGAGCGGAAATTTCAAGCCCTGCTATAGAGTGTACATATAAAGAAGATGTTAACATAGTAATGATTCTCGCTTATGGATTTACAATAGGAACACTTGGAGACGGTACTCCAGAAAGGGCAGTTAGGATGTTTGGCTCAAAGCTGGCTCACCATTGGTAGATCAGCCTGCAGTCATTACATACAGTAAAGTCCCAGCAGCTAATTACAGTGTTAGCTCACCTTCAGAGCTCATGTACATCTGCTTTGCCCACAGAAGAGCAACCCACATTCGGGTTGCCCTTCAAAGAGCATGTGACCGGCAGTGAAAAAAAGGCAAGTAGGATATTTGGCGCACTCCGAGACAGAGTAAGGAGGTAGATGCGGCATACAACAGTATGTATAAACCATATAATCAACGGTAAATAATTGAAAAAGGTGAGCGCTAGGCAATAATAGGAAGCAGCTAGCACAGAAGACAGGTAACAACCCCCAAAATTGAATATGTAAACAAGTGCAGCACTATAGTACTAAAATAAAACAAAGTACATCACATAAAAAATGTATCATTATATGCTAAAGAGGAACACTAAGGTGGAGCCTCTTGCTGACGACACGCTGCTGCTGCCGAAGGACGGAGCGGCGGCCGTCTTGGTATTGATTTTATTCATTTTATTTGTGTTTCCACATGGAATTGCTATTCTTCTATATACAAAATAAACTACTACACTAAATACAATTCTCTGGCTCTTGTGGTGAGCTGTTTTCCTCAGGACAAAGGCTCCCCAGATGACAGTCCATTCTAAAGCTCTAGATGACAGTCCATTCTAACCTCTTGGCTGCCCCCTACCTCAAGAGGTGTTGCTTCAAATGCCTGTTACCAGTCACATTCTGGTGAGTGTACATCTATTAGAGGTGGCGGATTCCCCTACGTGATTTTTATCACGTTCACATCCAGCACTTTAGTTTGCTGCACTTAATTATTTCAACAGACACTTAATGTGGATCACACCATATCACGGACAATACTAATTTTGATTACCTATAATATTTTGCTATCTACCTAATATATGTTATGTATTTATATTGCATATGATATCACGGATATTATCTATGCATGTATGAGGCACTTTATAATTTTATTTATTGAAGTATATTTGATTGTTTGCACTTTTTTATATGATGCAATTTGCTGTTCCATATTACCTATTCAGTTTTTATCTCATTAATAGTTGTGTTATACTATATGATTTGCGGATCTTTTTCTGTACTCTTGTACGATGCACTTTACTGTTCCGCTTTAGCATATATTGATACATTTGTTATGTGATGCACTTTGTTTTCATTTATTACTATAGCGCTGCACTTGTTTACATATATAATCAATGGTGATGGAATTAGGGAAAATAAATCATGAACAATATACTGTAATAAATATACAAATAAAATGTCCTTAGAGTCCTATAGGTAATTCTGATGCACCATGGAGTGGAGGCAGCCGGCCAATAATGAGCTAGAGAAGTCCTGTGGAAGATCTCTCTATGTACAGTATGAAAGATTTTTGATGGATAAAACCTGTAGTAATACTGGCCACTCACAAAGCATACGTAGGTTTGTGCTTGTAAATTAATAAGCATCCTCTGTAATGAAGGAGTATGAAGCAACTGGATGGATGGTGGTCACTGGCATCTGGCGGTGGTGCTGGTGGCTTCCAGCACGTCCTCCTAGTTCCGGGATTCCCTCAGTTGAGACGTCACTTCCAGTCACGTGATGGCGGTGGTTGGCGCACGTCTGGAGCATGTGTTCTCCCTCATCAGGCCATAAGGACTCCATCTTGCTGTGGGGCATTTGTACTCTCAGCAATGGGAGGATTAAGGGAATTCCTCCTACAGGCAGACACAGCTTGAGGAGTAAATGACCCACAGCAAGAGGGCTATCATTAAGCGCAGGAGTGGACAATTAAGGGATAAAAAACGTGATAAAATGTAATAAAACTAAGTAAGAGAAAAAATATATATCACAAATGTTAATACATGGAAATTACTATTTAGCACTATGTCCATGTGTGAGAACTAATACATGTGAAAAAGGGCCCCCATGTGCTTGTATGCATGCCTGACAACGTAGTGGTAAGCTCCTAATGAGACAACGGATGGTGTCCTGGGGTATTTTCTCTGAGATCTGGACCAGGATATCACTGAGCTTCTGGACAGTCTGAGGTGCAATTTGGTGGCGTTGAATGACCAAAACATGATATCTCAGAGGTGTTCTATTGGATTTAGGTAGGCAAGCATGGGGACCATTCAATGGTATCAGATCCTTCCTCCTCCAGTAACTGCCTGCATACTCTCACCACATGAGGCCAGACATAGTGCACCAGGAGGAACCCAGGACTCATTGCACAAACGTAGGGTCTGACGATGGGTCCAAGGATTTCATCCCGATACCTAATGGCAGTCAGGGTGCCATTGTCTAACCTGTAGAGGTCTGTGCGTCTCTCCATGGATATGCCTCTCCAGACCACCACCACCAAAACAGTCATGCTAAATGATGTTACAGGCAGAATACCATTTTCCATGGCTTCTCCAGACCCTTTCACGTCTGTCATGTGCTCAGCCTGAACCTGCTCTCATCTGTGAAAAGCATAGGGTGCCAGTGGTGAACCTGCCAAATCTAGTGTTCAATGGCAAATGCCAATCAAGCTCTATGGTGCCGGGCAGTGAGCACAGGGCCCACTAGAGGACGTCAGGCCTTCGGGCCACCCTCATGAAGTCTGTTTCTGATTGTTTAGTCAGAGACATTCACAGCAGTGGCCTGCTGGAGGTCATTTTGTAGGACTCTGGCAGTGCTCATCTTGCACACAGGAGCAGATAGCAGTCCTGCTGATGGGTTAAGGACCTTCTATGGCCCTGTCCAGCTCTCCTAACTTCCTGTCTCCTGGAATCTTCTCCATGCTCTTGAGACTGTGCTGGAAAACACAGCAAACCTGGCAATGGCACATATTGATGTGCCATCCTGGAGGAGTTGGACTACCTGTGCAACCTCTGTAGGGTCCAGGTATCTCCTCCAGCTACCAGTAGTGACACTGACCCTAGTCAAATGCAAAACTAGTGAAAAACGATCAGAAAAGGTGAGTAGGGAAAAAAAATGTCAGTGGCCTCCACCTGTAACATCATTCCTGTTTTGGGGGTCATCTCATTGTTGCCCATCTAGTGCACCTGTTATTAATTTCATTAACACCAAAGCAGCTGAGACTGATTACCAACCCCTTTGCTACTTAACTGACCAGATCAATATCCCAGGAGTTTAATTGACTTGATGCTATACTCTGATTAAAAAGTGTTCCTTCATTTTTTTTTGAGCAGTGCATTTAAATGACAATCATTTTGAATCTCGGGTTCACTGGATAAATGAACATTCTTTTGATTTTTTTTTTTTTTTTTTTGGATGTAACATTGAAGGGCTATGATGGAGGTTCAGTCACTAACTTGTACAGGTAACCCCTCTCTGGTAACAGTATTTTAAGAGCAGACTCTTGGCATACGGCTAGGGGTATCCCTGTAGGTCAGTTCTTATGCTTGCGTAGAATATGCAGTAGGGATGATGACTTTGAGACCTACAATGGGCTTACCCTGAAAATATCATCAGGTGGTAAGTATAGCCAGAAATACGGATAGAGATAATCTGTTGGATAAGACAACATGTCACGTGGCAGGATGGAAAGAGGACCACCTGTGTTCTCCACTTTTTATTGAATGCCACCTTCCTATACTGTACAGTGACAATGTGTATGGCCTCAGAACCTGTGTAATTAATGTGTTCAGTTTTAAAGTGATGAGGTGGCAACCCTAGTCCCACTGAATGAGCTGTCAGTATGGCAGTGGATTCTGATGGGATGCATGACTCTGTTCTGTGTGTATTGAGTGCTGTAGCCAGTTCTTCTATTGAGCTGACTCAACACCGTAAGAAGTGAACGGATTACCCGTTGATGAATGTCAGCTGTATAGAACATTCAAACATGCACTTGGTGTTGGGGTCCAGTAGGTAATAAATGCTGCTGACAGCGTGAAAACGCATTTACCTTCTTGTACTCACCTGTTATCTCCTGTCACTTTGGATTTTTAACTTACAATAAAGTTGATCACCAGTGTGCAGCAGTATACATCAGTGTATATGATATATATATATATATATATATATATATATATATATATATATATATATATATGAATATATTGCTATGTGTTTTGCTATTCTCCCCCCCCCCCCCCCCCCCCACAAAAGTGAAGTTACCCTTGAGCCCTTTTTTTTATAGGTATATTTGTCTTTGGGATTGACTGAGAAAGAAGTTGATGAATTTTTCACTGGGCCAGCATTCTTGGCTTGGGGTCGAATGGGAAATATTCACACTTGGGGAGGTCCTTTGTCCTCCAACTGGATGAATGAACAGTATTCCTTACAGGTAAGATCCTAACATGTTCATTAGGAAACAATATGCAGAAATAAGACTTGACACACCCAAACAAAATCCGTTTATGAAGGACTTCTATTACCAATCTTATTACTTAAGCAGCAAATGTTGGTGGCAGGGTTTTGAAAAATACAAAAAGGGAACTAATGAACGTTACCATTGTAATTTGGTATTTTGTGGGGGTCGAAGATAAGAGCAAACACTTGGGACATTGTAGAGGCTAAAGGTCAGAGGATAGAGGGAAGGATATACTTGAGAAAAGGTATATGTTTTAGGGACAGTAATCTAGGAACATAGAGGAACCTGCAGCAAAAACAATCTATGCAGGTAAGATACGGTACATCTGTTAGGAGTTCTAGGGGGAATAGTGGAGAACATAGAGGTATGTTGTGATGGGGAAGGTCAGCCTTTCCTAATCTCTTAACCACAGGGAAACCCTTGAAATAATTTTCAGGTCTCAGGGAATCCCTGCCAGTGTGTACCAAGGTGCATTGGGCAAATGTCCCTTACATTTGTAGTAGTTGGTGGGAAGAATGTATCCCTTAAACTGGTGGTCAGGATGTCACCCTTGCAGGCATGCCGCTTTCTTTGCCAAGTGCTGTTGGACCTGGAACTATGTAGGCACCATCAGATGGGAGGTCAGTTAGACACAGCTCATGGAACCACTAGCCACCTCTGGAGGAACCCTAGGTTTCAATGAATCCCTGTGGAGAATGACTGGTGTAGGTGAACATAATGAAAAAGTAACTTGTGCATGAATTCTCTTTTTCTATTCTATATTTTCAGCTTAAAATCCTAAAAAGAATGCGATCTCTTGGAATGATTACAGTGCTGCCTGCATTTGCTGGACACATTCCTTCAAGTTTACTCAGGTAATATATTAGATGTTGATGCCTGGCATGTCTTTCCCACGGAGCCCTGATAAATGTAAAGATAGTTGATAGAATGTCTGTATTGTCTCTACTTGACAATACATTGTACACCTCACAATAAACGTTTTGTTAGAGTTCCAATTCTAATAATAAAAAGAGAAGTGTGCACTTTCACCATTAGTGGTAATCAATCACTTTTCAATTAAAAGTTTAAAGTATTAGGTATTAAAAAAGTATTAATCTGCATAGTAATAAAAACAGCACTGTTTCTGAAAAAAACTAAAACTAAACCGCTCCTGTAAAACACAATATGTTATACTTTGCCTATCTTAACACCTGTTTATAGAATCCTTGCTCCTTTTTGCAGAGCAAAGCTTGTCCGATGGATCTTCACATCTAAAACAACCCTCACCAACCTGGTAGGGGGGATGCAGGTTGGTATACAATAAGGATCCATTTACACCAGATGTGGTGGGACTGCGCTGAGCTGTTATTTCAGTGCAGTACCACCGCTTGACAAGGGAAAATGTCTTGTCTCCTCTGTGCCCAGTTCACACCACTGCATTGCGGTTGTGTGCAGGCACTGTGGACTGAAAAAGAGTAGTGTGTGAACTACTTTTTTTTCAGTGCACCACAGCGCAGTGTGAATCACTACCTCACACTGCATGGCGGCCAACTGAACTTGATTAAATGTCTGTGTGACATTTCAATAAAGTTCGTTAAAAGGAAGAGTACAGTACAGAGCGGTGATTCGTACCAGGCCCATCTCACACCAGCCGTTGCGTTATAAAGCAGTAGCTGGTGTCAATAGACCCTGAAGATCCTTCTAATAGCTTTACTCAGAAGTAGAATAAAGACTATATAAATGGATGTGTAGGTTGCCTAAGTTAGTTAGTTAGATAGTGGTTGGCCCAGGCAGGGGAAGGGGCTAAACTATTTGGGTGCTGCTGTTTGCTGGCTTTTTGGACCCAGCTTACCTGCCGTTTGAACCATGTATAAGGGGAGAAGGCCAGGTACCAGGGGCTTGCTTTCTCTCCTTTTGAGACCTGAAGATGCTGTAACACTGCGCTGAGGAGGGGGGACCGCTGGTTCTTCAGTCCATCCAAAGACACTGGCTCCATGGAGAATCAGGACATTATGGACTTGTACCAAGTAATGGACCCACTCCCAAAGAGGTATGCCTGGGGAGCCACAATATAGAATAGTTAGAGGCAAATGCATTAGAATGTGATTTTTGCATTTATGCACTAGCACTACAAAGTTCAGTAAGGTTCATTAAACCGTTTCCTAAGCCTGGTCTAAAGGTACTCACAAAGGGGTGCATGAAGGTTAAAGGCAATTACAAGAGCTTGGGTCAGCAAAGCACATATAGGGTGTGAAGCAAGTGGAGGAGCAGTTGCTGTGGGTATCCAAATACTGGTGTAGAGTGCTTCAGCAGCCTGTTGTGAATCAGGGTACCTGGGGTGAGCTGTCCTCTGGTAGTAAGAGAGTCGGTGATCCAGCCCCCTCTGCAGTGGTTGGTTTCCCATTGCAACGGGAATTGAACCCACAACCCAGAGACCCATAGCTTAGCTTCATAGTACGGGAGAGAATGTGAGGAGTTAAGTGAGAGCACGCATGAGGTCCACGCTATGTGCTCAGTGGGACCCTATTTTTTTCAGTGGAAGTGAGGTGGCAGAGCTTTGCTGGGCAGGTGGAGAGGGCCTAGGCTCAACAATAGTTAGTCAGGTGTATAGTGACATATGGTGCAGTGCTTCACAGAGGAATACTACACACCATGTACAGCTCATCTCTAAGCCGGGGCCACCTTAAGGTTGATTTCACCTAAACGTGGCCTCTACCCAGTCATGGGCATTGGTGATTGTGTGTGCACACAGAAAGGTACCCCATGTGCAGCAGGGTGAGTGACCCCATGGGGTACATGGAGTATTTGGCAAGGATGTGCCTGCTCCGCTGCCCACATGTATCGGGGAAAATTAGGTATAATCTGTTTCTTCTTACAGGAGCAGTTTTGGATTTATTTTTAGGGATTGCATTAGGTCAGTTTTAAAAAAAAAAAAAAAAAAAAAGGAAAATCACCACAAATTTTTACCTGTCAGATTTCTGTTTCATTTATTATTGTTCTTATCAGCTTTAATGGAGAACAAATACTGTAAACTGCTTTCTGCCCATTTTGTCTACAGTACAGTCACTAATCTGTCATAGCAAATGGATCTTTGCTTCAAAGAGAGGGTAAATTATATGAAAAGTAAAAAATGTCTATATGTTGCATTTTCCTAGGCACTGAAGTGCTTAGAGGGTTTAAAATATTTTACCATGCTCTGTTTTTGTAAGTGCTGTTACTATCATGCCTTTCTCTGTCTGGTATTCAGTAGTAAAGAAATGTACAATGTATAATTATCCTGCACCTTCCAGATTATATATCTAAAATGTTGTTAATAGTGCCAATGTTCAGTAGAACTGGGGTGGCTGCAACCAACAGAAGTGTTCCCACAATAAAATGTTGATATCCCAGTATTTTTACTGCTATACTTCCCTATCTATATAATCTCAAATCAACAAGTAATATCAATGTGCTAAAAAGATCCCAGCCTAATATTACTCAATCCAGTAAATAAACATCCAAAATTTTCATACCAAGCATTGGTTAATTCATAAAATTCAGTGCTCATAAACTGTAGTGCAAATAAATATAAATCAATAATAATCATAAAACGTTCCCCATTCATAAAGTATGCATATAAATTCTTCAAAGCATCCGTGTTCCACTTCCTGTGTTTACTTAAAAACATACAAAGATTCTGCTTGCTACCACCATTCAACCCTGCGCTCACCTCCACTGCCCTCTTACAGGTTATTTGCGCTTCATCCCCTTATCTGGGATCCTTGGGCTGATGCCTCTCATGTATACGGTCTCTCTTTAAGCTGATGTCCGGTTCTGCATCCTCCATGCAGATCACTCAAATTCCTGGTGGCCTGGCCCTTTAAATTATTATTATTATTATACGGTATTTATAAAGCGCCAATGGTTCGCTCAGCACTGTACATTACAAAGGGGGACAGAACGTGTGACAGAACAATACCAATACAATGCAAAACATGAGGGGATCGAGGGCCCTGCTCTTTCGATCTTACAATCTATGTGCGGTCTCCGTTTTTTTTGCGGTACACTCACACAAACAAAGATATCCCATAGTGTAGTACTTCAGACAATAAAATGTACTGAATAAAAATTGCACTCACATTAATGAAATTGACACGTGACACGAGAGCTGGAGCTCCGCTGTACTTTTCTGGTCTCGGCCTCCTGAGGCCATATCATCATGTGACTTCTTCAGTAGTAGTAGTGAGATTCCAATTTTAGTGCATCTAAAGCCAAAATCTTTTTTTCAGCTTTGAAAAGAATGATAAAGGGCTAGAACCTCGGTCTAGGCTTTTCTGTCATTGTGTCCCACTCTTTGTACTAGTGACTGTTGTCACTAAGACTTAAAATGATGAAAAGATGGAAAAATCCAATATTTTGAAAAGGGATATTTGTTATGGGAACACTTGTTCCAGGGACAACTCTCCCTTGCTTTGGAGACACAAGTTTAAAAAACAGCCAAGGGTTTTACACAATTCCTGGTTTATCCAAAATCGATAAGTTTTTTAACTATAAATATATTTTAATGTGAGAAAAGAATGAGAATTTATGTTCTTCAAAAAAGTAGCCACATATATACAGAAACCTGAAGACTTGACATTTATTTAACATGGCTGCACAGGATACTGCTTTTTAGCGTTGTCTGTTAAATATCAATAAAACTATGCTTTCCATCAATGAAGTTTATTAAACTTCTTTTACTTACACAAAATTTAGGTGATTTACTCTAGGTGTAAAAAAAAAAAGGGAGAAACCCACTGCACTGCCAAAAAAGGACGAACTTAAAGAAGGAAATGAAGTAGCTGCGAAGACCTGATTATAAACAATAGTGAAAGGAAATAAGTGAGAAAAAATGGTGCTACACTACTAAGGGTAAACCTAATTAAACAATACCACATTTGTAGGTCCGGACTATGTTTTTTAAATTATGCATAATGCTGCTCTTTGTGTCCTGTGTTTCCTGCTTGAGCTTCTGTAAAATGGCCACTGTGTTCTTGTCACATACCTGACCGGAGGCTGCAATAGAGAGAGGGCTCCCTTTACGGCTAAGTGCAGTGCGCCCCTGGAGGTGCAAACAGGAGGTGCAGTGCCCAAAGAAGCACGGGTTGCCAGTGGTGTTGCTGCTTGGAAATGTCTGATGAGTTGGAACCCGTGGGTGTTCCAGTTGCAGGAGGAGTTTCTCCAGAGAACACATGGATCCCGGAGGATGGGTAGAGTAGTCAGTAGCCAGAACCAGGATCAATATGGAACAGCAGACAAGAGCAACATCAGGATCAAGCCGGGGTCTTACAGGAGCAAGCTGGGATCATACACAGAGCAGCAAGGTCAGGAGCAGCCGGGAACACAGGTTAGGATCAAGCCAGGGTCATATACAGAGTAGCAGCAGACAGGAGCAAGGTCAGGAGCAAGCTGGGATCATACACAGAGCAGCAAACAGGAACAAGGTCAGGAGCAAGCCGGGATCATACACAGAGCAGCAGACAGGAACAAGGTCAGGATCAAGCTGGGTCGGTAACAGGAAATCAGCAGGATTGAATCTGTCTCCCCCTTTTCCGTCCATCCAAGATGGTTTCGACTTCAAACTCGATGTCTTCCCCTACCGTGACTGGCGGTGGGGGCCGTTTCTCTCTTTTAGGGATAGGGCACATTAAGGCTGGTTTGAGTAGAGAAACATGGAAGACCGGGTGAATCTTATAAGAGTAGGGTAAGTCCAGTCCAAAGGCCACAGGGTTAATCTCCTTTTTGATTTTAAAGGGTCCAATGAATCTGGGACCTAGTTTTCGTGAAGGGCAAGCAAGTTTGAGATTGGTTGTAGCAAGCCACACTTTGTCTCCCACTTTCCACCCAGGGTTACCCC